CATTCACAGAAAGAAATAATAATTAAATAAAATATAGGAAAATGTGCTCAACTTTAATTATAAGTCAGGAAAACAGGAAAAGTAAAAGTAGATGTCATTTTAAATTCATATTCGAAAACTATTATTAAAAATATATTCAAAATCTTTTAAAATAGATGCTGCCCTGCATGTGCTCACCAAGATGTGCCAAGAAATCTGGAGGACAACTACTTGGCCAACTCATTGGAAGAGATCAATATTTATTCCCATTCAAAAAAAGGTGACCCAACAGATTGTGGAAATTATTGAACAATTATCACCAATATCACATACTAGCAAAATCCTGCTGAAGATTATCCAGAAAGGACTTGAACAGTACACTGACAGAGAACTACCAGAAATAGAAGCTGGGTTTAGAAAAGGTTGTGGCACTAGGGACATTATTGCAAATGTCAGCTGGATCTTGGCAGAAAGCAGAGAGTACTAGAAGAATGTCTATCTGTGTTTCATTGACTATGCAAAGGCATTTGACTGTGTGGATCACAATAAATTGTGGCTAATCTTGAGGAAAATGGGAATCTCAGAGCACTTTATCGTGCTTATACAAAATCTGTATTTGGACCAAGAAGCAGTTCTCAGAACAGAGCAAGGAAACACTGCATGATTCAAAACTAGGAAAGGAGTGCATCAGGGGTACATCCTGTCCCCATATCTTTTCATGCTGTATGTAGAGCAGATCTTTTGTGAAGCAGGGCTTTATGAGGAGGAGTGTGACATCAACATTGGAGGAAGACTCATTAACAACCTATGATATGCAAATGACAGAATCTTGCTTGCTGACACTGAAGAAGACCTGGAGCACTTGTTGCAAAAGGTCAAGGACTGGAGTCTTCTATATGAATTGAAGCTCAACATCAAGAAAACAAAGATTCTTATCACTAGGCCTATTGGCAACAAAACACCATAAGAGATGGAGAAGCAATTGAGGTTGTTCGCATTTATAGCTTGCTCGGATCCACAATCAGCACTCTTAATACTGCTGTTGTTGTTGTTATGTGCCGTCAAGTCGCTTGTGACTCAAAATCAAAAGACAAATTGCATTGGGAAAAATCTGCTGTCATGGACCTCTTCAGAGTGCTAAAGAACAATGATGTTAGTCTAGAATCAAAGGTGTGCCTAATCCAGGCCTTGGTCTTCTCAATTACTTCTTATGCCTTAGAGAGTTGGACAATGACTAAGGATGAAAGAAGAAATCCAAGTTTCTCCTTGGAGGCTAGGATTTTGAAGCCCTGCCTCACTTACTTTGGACACGTGGCCAGGATAGATTGGTCCTTGGAGAAGGACATCGTGCTCGGAAGAGTAGATGGACAGAGCAGGAGAGAAAAACCCTGGATGAGATGGATTGATACAGTAACTGGGTAATGAGTTAGTGAGACTGGCTCAGGACAGGGAAGGGTTCAGAGCTGCTGTACATATGATTGCTATACATCACAGGTGACTCAGTGGCACATAACAATAACATTCTATGACAGGTATGGAAGCAGGGGTTGATGGTTGTAGAGGGGTTTCAGGTCTTTTGTTCATGGGGTTGCTATGAGTTGTGCTTGACTCAAAGATAATCAACAACAAATAATATAAATTTCTATTTATAATATGTATATATTATATATTGTATATATGCAATTACAAAAATCTGTGTGTGTTATGAAAAGGAGTGTAGCAGGGATGCATCCTGTTTCCACTACTTTTAAATCTATACTTGTAACAGATCATTTTGGAAGTTGGACTACATGAGGAGCAATGTGCCATTAAAATTGGAGGAAGACTCATCAATAACCTGCACTGTGCAGATAACACAACCCTGAAGCATTTGTTTCAGAAGATCAAGGACTGTAGTCTCCAATATGGACTAAACTCAACATCAAGAAAACAAAGATTCTCATAACTGGGTCAGTTATTAGCCCCATAATAGATGAAGAAGAAATTGAGACTGTTAACAATTTCAGCTTGCTCATTACCACACTTATGGTGTCAGCAATAAAGAAATCAAAAGATAAATTGTATTGAGTAAACCTGCCATTGGGGACCTCTCCAAAGTGCTGAAGAGCAATGATGTCAGTCTAGATACTATAGTGCACCTGATCCAGGCCAAGGCCTTCACAGTTATTTGCTATGCATCTGAGAGCTGGACAATGACTAAGAATAATAAAAGAATCAATGTCTTTAAGTTGTGATGCTGAATAGTGTTATTGAACATACCATGGGCTGACAAGAGAACAAACAGGTCTATCCTAAAGAGGGTGAAACCAAATTGCTCTCTGGAGGCAAGGATTTTGAAACTCCATCTCACATACTTTGATCATGCTACCAGGAAGGACCAGTCCTTAAGGAAGGACATCATGCTTGGAAGGGTGGAGAGATGGTACAGGAGAGGAAAACCCTGCATGAGTTGATTGACACCGTACTGGGGTAATGAGGGTAGGTGTGTCTGAGAAAGGGAGATTGGCTCAGGATAGGGCAAATTTCAAAGCTAATGTTGTTATGAGTCGCAGTCAACTGGAAGGCACAAAACAACAACAATAACAACGTGTATTCAGAGAGACAAAATATGCAAATTACATATTTTTAACTGTTACTAATGTTACCTTTAGAGAGAAAAGTGAAAATTGGATGGGGGCATGTGAGATGAACTTTGATTCTTCAGAGTAGTTTTTATTCATACGCATATATGATCTGTGATTAAAAACATAAAAAGAATAAAAATTAAGACAGTATGAAGTTAACTATGCCTGTCAACTGCAATCATACTTGAGCCATATTGAAAATACGTTCTTAGTAGGTAATATGAATTTTATAATTAATCTAATTTCACATATTCTAAAATGCTCATTTTCTTGTGGTTTAGTGATACTTCTCTATAATATGTTATTCATGATTCTTTACGAGTCTGCTGAGGAATGATTAGACTCTTATAGCTTCCTCTCTGTCTTCTTTGCAGGATTGGCACTTGGACCCTTTGTGGCTGTCCTCTCAGGTGGCTTCATTAGTCAAGTTCTTGGGTGGCCTTTTGCCTTTTACATCTTTGGTAAGCTATTATTTTCTAGGTTTTTTGGTGTAAATATACATAAATACAAAAAGCCTCACCACTGGACCACAGGCAACATGAAGATAGGTGGATAAAATTTTGAAATTGTCAATGATTTCATTTTACTTGAGTCTACAATCAACACATGGTCTGGGTTGTGTTTAGAAGACGCTGTGGAGTTAGCGATATTATCGCCAATGTCAAATGGGTCTTGGCTAAAAGAAAAGAGTACCAGAGGGATACCTGTGTTTCATGGACTACGTAAAGGCGTTTGACTGTGTGGATCACAACAAATTGTAACTAACCTTGAAGAGAATGGTAATCCCAGAACACTTGATTGTGCTTATATGAAACCTATACTAGGACCAGGAAGTAGTCCTCTGAACACAGCAGGGAAACACTGCATAGTTCAAAATTAGGAAGGTAGGGTGTAAGGGATGCAATCCATCTCCATACTTTTTCAATCTATATGCAGAATAGATCATTTGGGAAGCTGGGCTTTATGAGAAGGAGTGTGACATGAGGATTGGAGGAAGACTCATCAACAACCTGCATTACACAGATGACACAACCTTGCTTGCTAAAACTGTGGCGGACCTAAAGTGCTTGCTGTAGGAGGTCAAGGACTGTGGTCTTCAATATGGATTAAAGCTCAACATCAAGAAAACAAAGAATCTCACAACTAGGTCAATTGACAGCACCATAATAGATGAAGAAGAGATTAAGGTTGTTAACAGGTTACAGCTTACTTGGCTCCACAACCAACCCTTTTGGCACCAGCAGTCATGAAATCAAAAGGTGGACTGCATTACTTAAATCTGCTGTGAAGGCCCTTTCCAGAGTACTGAGAAACAATGATGTCAGTCTAGAGACTAAAGTGTGTGTGACCCAGTGCATGATCTTCAGAATTACTTGTTATGCATCAGAGAGCTGAATAATGACAAATGATGACAGAATAAGAATCAATGCATTAGAATTGTTGTGCTGAAGAAGAGGCTTGAACACACCATGGACTGTCAAGAAAGCAAACAGGTTTGTCTTGGAGAGGGTGAAACCAAGTCTCTCCTTGGAGGCTAGAATTTTTAAGTTCTGTATCACATACTTTGGGTATATAGCAAGGAAGGACAGATCCTTGGAGAACGACATCATGCTCAGAAGGGTGAAGGGGCAGCACAGAAAAGGAAGATCCTGGATGGGATAGATTGGTACAGTAACTAGGACAATGAGGGGAGGTGTGTGGGAGTCAAACTGACTCAGGACAGAGCACACTTCAGAGGGTCGTTATGAGGGACAGTTGAATTAATTGAAAGCACATAACAACAACAATCAACACACAGGATAACCCAATCAAGAAATCAAAAGACTTATTTTATTGGGAAAATCTGCTTTCAAAGACCTCTCCAAAGTGTTAAAAAGCAAGAATGTCAGTTTAAAGACTTAGCTGTGCCTAATCTAAGCCATAGCATTTTCAATTGTTTTCTATGCATCTGAATGTTGGACAATGAATAAGTATAATAGAAGAATTAAAATGAGCAAAGTAAAAACTTATTTATTTTTTGACACATCTTTAGCTAAATGGACCAAGAATGAGGACTGAGAAAGAGAGGACAAACAAAGCATTGGTGTTAGGAATAAAATAAAGGGACATCAATGCAGGCTCTTTTCAAACATTAATAATTAAAAAAAGACACTTAATAGCATGATTCATTATATTTTATATTATGAAGCACTCTATCCCTTTAAATTTGATCATTTGGATAAAGTGAAGAGATTTCTTTAAAAGATACTAAGAAAGTTTACTCAAGAAGGAAGAAGTTACCTGAATAATTACTATATATTAGGGAAATGGTTTTTGTAAAAGTCATCCCAAACAGTAAAGTGTAGATTCACATGACTTCATTAGAAATTTGAGCAAAAATGTAAGGAAGAAATTATAGTAATTATATACATATTTCCTCCCCCCCCCCTTAAAATAAAAGAAGAAAGAGGGACCAGTCCTTGGAGAGGGACATCATGTTTGAGAGGGTGGAGAGACAGTGCAGGAGAGGAAGACCTTCGATGAGGTGGATCGATTCAGTGACTGGGGTAATGGGAGTAGTTGTGTCTGAGATTATAAGTTTGGCACAGGATAGAGTAGAGTTTAGGACTCTTGTACATAGCTTCGCTATGAGTCACATGCTACTCGACAGCACATAACAAAAATAACAAAAGAACAAAAACAAGACTTACGTCATAAAGATGTTTTCAGAGCCTCCGAAAAATCTTACAGGAAAGCTTAAAACTACAGACCAATATCTCTCAAGAATCTAAATACAAATATCCTTAAAAATATTATCATATTTAATCCATCAATTTATAAGAAAGATAAGGTATAAGGTCTAGTGAAAAATACATATTTGGACTTTAAGATAGAGCTAACATTTTTTTAAATCCATGTAAATTAGGATCACAGTAAGATCTGCATCTAACATAAAATTGTACTATCTCTGCCCAATTTATGTTACAAGAATCAGATTTACCCTGTGACCTGAAGCCACTTGAAAATAAACAAACCCTTAATAATTTATTTAACAATTGTTTTAAAGACCCTGGATATCATACAAAAAAATACAATAACCCATGAGAGGTGAATTCTAGGGTATAGGACAGAAGAAGGAATTATGGTAAAGGTATTTAAATTGAGTGAGAACCCTGAGACTCTGAAGAGAATCCCTCTTGAGAATTCAGAAGACCATTAATCAGGGTATGTATGTGAAGAAATTACCTAAAACCAGAGGGGAAAGTATTGGATAGGGTTAAACAAGTACCATTACTCTCAGTCACAAAAGGACAAATACTGCATAGTGCTGCTGTAGTAGAATGGGACTGACATCAGGGTTGGGGTGAGACTGAAAAAGATGGGATAAATTATGTATATTGCATTGAAGCAGATGAGAGAGAAAAAACTGTTTAAAAGGGATATATGATTAGGTATCGTTGTCATGACAGGAGTCCAGAATGAAGGCTGCATAGTGAAGTGGACTTGGTGGAAGGGATTGTATAACAATGAAAGAATTTTTCTTTTACTTTTCAAAGAGAAGAGCAAGCAGGGAGGGGAGGAGTGCTCAGGGAGAAAAATGCAACAATGAATGAATGGAATTCCAAAGTCTCTGTAAATGTTCAATAAAATGAGTAATAATAAAAAAAAAGAAAAAAAAGTGCCATTACTCATGAAGGACCAATGATAATGCCTACTCCCAAAAAGACAGAGTGAAAGAAAAAAAAACCCCAACAACTATTTTATGGGTCATTGGAGAAATACTCATTCCTCAGTAGCAGAAAATAATTCTCCTTAGAGGGAACACTGCTGTGATTCTTGGTGTAAATGATGAAAGCAAGACACAAGAGGATTAAACTTTCCTAACTTAACTACCATACTTCAGAACAAAGCTGAACTCTATTTATTAATATGCAAAAATATCTAGCACCCAATAAAGTGTAAATTACAATGCATGGTTAACTACAGAGCATCAGGTATGGAGGGAAAAAAGTAAATAACAACCCATAGTGAAGAGATTGGTGAGTCAGTGAAAACTGACGTAGAACTGACATAAATATTAAAATTAGCAATCAAGGATATTAAAATGTTTGCTATAGTTAAAATGTTGTTGTTGTTGTTGTGTGCTGTTGAGTAGGAACTGACCTGTAGCTGACTCTCCAATAGATTTTCAGAGACAGTAAACTATATAGGAAGAGATTTGTCCATCTTACTCCAGCAAAGCAGTTGGTGGATTCAAGCCACACTTGCCTTTGCATTTGCGTCATAGCTTCTTACAACTAAGCCACTAAAGCTCCCTGTAATGGTAACACTCATATCCAAAACAAATTATTGTTGTTAGGTGCTGTTGAATCAAATATCACTTATAGCATCCGGATTGGAGGAAGCCTCACCAACAATCTGCATTACGCAGATGATACAACTTTAATTGCTGAAAATGAGAAGAACCTGAGGTGCTTGCCATAGAAGGTCAAGGACTGCAGTCTTCATTATAGATTGCAGTTCAGCACCAGGAAAATAAAGATTCTCACCACTGAGCTGATTCACAATGCCATGATAGGTGGAGAAGAGATTGAGAATGTTAACAATTTGTCTCCACAATAAACATTCTTGGCACCAGCAGTCAGGAAATAAAAAAGTTAATTTTACTAGAAAATTTGCTGTCAGGGGCTTCTCCAGAGTACTGAGAAACAATGATGTTAGATAGGGACTAAAGTGTGACTGATCCAGGCCATGGTCTTCAGAATTACTTGTTATGCTTTAGATAACTGAACAATGATTAAAGACGACAGAAAAAGAATTGATGTCTTTGAGTTGTGGTGCTAAAGAAGAGTCTCAAACATACCATGGACCTCCAAGTAAGCAGACATGTCTGTCTTGGAGAGGGTGAAACCAAGTTCCTCCTTCAGGCAAGGATTTTGAAGTTCCATCTCATATACTTTAGACAGACGGCCAATAGGGTAGTGGGACAGCAGAGGAAAGGAAGTCCCCAGATGAGATGTGTTGATACAGTGACTGGGGAGATGGGAGTACATATGTCGGAGTCATGGAAACTGGCTCATGATAGGGCAGGCTTCAGAGCTGTTGTGTGTAGAGTCACTATGAGTCACAGGTGACTTGACGGCACAGAACAAGCATAAGTAAAGTTAGTTCAATTGTAAAAAGACCTTTAAAATAAATGATGCTTAAATTTGTATATACACATGTAAAATAAAACAAAAATCAAACTTTAATTCTTACCATACCTGGGACCATGAACAAAAATAAATAACCAATTGAAAACTCAAAATGAATTATCAATATAAATGTAAAACATAAAATCATTACATTTGGAAAAAAATTCAGAGGAAATCTTTGTTATTCTTAGATATGATCTGAAACACATGATCCATAAAACAACAAATTGATAAATTCGATTTCTTCAAAGGTTAAAACTTCTACACTTCAAAATACATAGTTAAGATAATATACAACAGCAGCAACAATAATGTTAATAACAAGGTGAGATAGGGTGAACATATTTGCAAAACACATGTATGATAGAATTTTACCTAGATTATATAAATAATTCTCAAAACTCAATAAATACACAACTGTTTTTTTTTTAAATAATGGACCAAATATTTGAACTCATATTTCATCAAAGGAAAGTTATGGAGGGCAAATATACACATGAAAACATCTTGTTTATCAGGGAAATGCAAATAAAAATCACAATTAGATATCTTTACCCATCTATTAGAATGGATTTTTTTTTTCCAAAAAAATGCCAGCTATTGTGGTGCAATGGGAAAGACTGCTGTTAGGGACCTCTCCAGGGTACTGAAGAGCAATGGTGTCACTCTGGAGACTAAGGTACATCTGATACAGTCTATGGTCTTTGCAATCAATTGTTATGCATCAGAGAGTTGAATAATGACTAGGAAGGATAGAAGGAGAATTGATACCTTTGAGCTGTGGTGCTGGAGAAGAGTATTGAATGTACCATGGACTGCCAAGAAAACAAACAGATTCAGCCTGGAGAGGGTTAAACCGGGCTGCTCCTTGGAGGTAAGGATTCTGGGGCTTTGTCTGACATACTTTGGACATGTTGTAAGGAGGGACAGGCTTTGGAGAGGGACATCATGCTTGGGAGGGTGGAGGGGCAGTGCAAGAGGAGAAGACCTTCTATGAGGTGAATTGATTCAGTGACTGGGGTAATCGGGATGGGTGTGTCAGAGGCAGTACGATTGGCATAGGATTGAGCAGGGTTTAGGGTTGTTGTACATAGGGTCGCTATGAGTCACAAATGACTCAATGGCACATAACAACAACAACAATTGTGGTGCTTTTTCTAGAGTACACAGTTACCATATACACAAACAAGCAAGAAATGGAAAAGAATGTGTAGCTGAAAGCTCAAGCATTCATGTGATTTTTTTCCTTTTCTTTTGCTTTTTTAAATGGAGAAAAGAATATTATGAGCAAGGTATTTTCCAAAGTTCTGTACCTGAGCATCCAAGAGTGAAGAAAATTTGGAAGACATATCAGTCCTGTGTCAACTTTACCTTTTTCTTGCAGGGGCTATTGGCTGTGTTTTCACTCTTCTCTGGATTTTTCTGCTTTATAATGACCCCATTTCTCACCCATGGATAAACAACTCAGAGAAGGAATACATCATATCTTCCTTGGCACAACAGGTATGAGTAAATATTCTACTTTCTCCAGCCTCTGAATTTCTCAGGGTAGTTAAGAATGTGTGAGCATTTCTCAGATCTTTGTGTTCTAACCAGTAAATTTTTTTTCAGGTCAGCTCTTCCAGGCTGCCTCTTCCCGTCAAAGCTATGGCCAGATCTCTACCCCTTTGGTCCTTGCTTATTTGCAGTTTCACCCACCAGTGGTTAGCTACCCTATTAGTTATATATATACCAACTTATATCAGTTTTGCATACAATATTAACATCAGAGACGTAAGTATATTTTCTTACTGTGCACTCTTCTTTCGCATGACTTATTCATTATCCTATATTCACGAATTATTTCACTTGGACAAATTTATTTCTTAGCAACAAACTAGTCTGATGTTTATGTTAGCACAAAAATGATTGAAAGTATGATTGACTGTCTTTTGGAGGTATAATTGAAATTGTTAGTGATTTTTCTAAGAAAGCATGATTTCTGGATGACTTAGAGATTTTAGAAAATTGATAAATTAATTTGAGAGGCATTTCCAACAAAGATTGTGTTCCTACTGCCTTTATTAATGTGGTTCCTTTTATTTTCTATAGAATGGGCTTCTGTCTTCCCTTCCTTATATTGTTGCCTGGCTATTCATTATCCTAGGAGGCCAATTGGCAGATTTCCTTCTAACTAAGAATTTTAAGCTGAATACAGTGAGGAAGATTATCACACTTATGGGTAAGAATTGGGCCAGATTAATTAATTAATCCTTAAAACATGCCATGACCAAAGAATACATCTTACTGATTAATCTATCTGTTGCTTGTCTCCTAGGAGTTCTTCCCTCTTCAATACTCATTGCTACCCTGCCCTACCTCAGATCCAGCTACATTGCAACAATAACCTCCCTGACCATCTCTTGTGCATTAACTGCCTTATGTCATGCAGGGATTTTTATCAATGTCTTAGATATTGCTCCAAGGTAAGACTCTACATTGTAATGTTCACATTTTTTTACTGAGATATCATTTTTAGGTGCCTTAAAGCTTAGAAAATAATAAATAATGGACAAGGCCCACAGATAGACCAGCTGCCACTTTTTTCTCCCCAATCGTTAGTGTGTATGAAGAGGCCACTTTTGCTCTTAGTATACTTCAGTGCCTCTTGTTGAAGAAAGATGATACAGACCTTTTATGTTATAGAATAGATTACTACATGCAGTAGGGCTGAAGAATATTGTCTAGAATCTCTGCATCTAACCTTGGACATTCCTGTCACCTACAGCCATTCCAGTTTCCTTATGGGAGTTACAAGGGGATCTGGACAGATATCAGCTATCCTAGTATCCACTGTCGTTGGACTTTTTCTTAGTCAGGTAAAGTTTCCTTGTCAAGAATGATTATTAAAATGCCCTTCCAAATCTATTTATAGAGGTAGTACTTTCTAAAATGAAGTTAAATTATTATTAACTTTATCACAAAGATAAAAGAAATATATGTTTTTGTAGTTGTTCTTAGTGCTGTTGTGTCAATTCTGACTCATGATGACTCTATTATGGGTTTGCTTGATTGTCATTGTAAGAGAAGCATATTGCCAGACTTTTTCTTCTTGGGTACTGCTGGGTAGGTTCACATTAACTTTTAGATTAACAGTCAAGTATAAACTATTCCATCTGGAGAAAGAAAAAAAATACAGAACAATTGCTTGGTAACCTCAATTTTGGTTTTTTCTGAAACAAAGATCTAACTACTGATCCACTGGTGATATAATCTCTGAAATTGAAACCACAGAGCCACATGGTATCTTGGGTTGCCTATTCCATTTATAGATGCAACCTTCCTTCTGTATCATTTTGGAATTTTCATTTACATGACCATCCAAAGATTTAAAAACTCCATTTTTAAGAATTTGATATGTGTAGTCAATGTGATAGGTATTTTATACACAGTGAATTAATTTGTTAACTTTTATACTAATTGAAAACTCAACACTATAGAATCAGAAATGACTAACCCTTCAGTTGATTATAAAGTGTGTGAGAAGAGATTGCTTACCTGTAGACTAGATCACCAAAACTGTCTGTCTGTTTCTCTCTCTCTCTCTCTCCTGCCCTGCCCCCCCGCAAACCTTACAGCATGGTGTTAGCAAAACAAGAGATTTAAAAATAGTATTCTTACTTCTTGATGATTAAACTTAAAAGAAATAATTTTATTTACAAAATGCAGTCTGAGTGCTCCTTAAAGGCAAAGATAATGATTCTTTGTTTAACTTTAAGCATATTTGCAGAGGAAATCTGTTATTGAAAAGAGCCATCAATCTGGGAAAGGTAGAGAGGGTCAATGACAGAGAGGAAGACTCTCAAGGAGATGAGCAGATGAGCTGACACAGCAACTAATGCAAAGGGCTTGAGCATGACAGAGACCATGAAAATGGTAAAGGATAGGTCAGGGTTCAGATCTACTATCCACCGACTTGCTATTAGTTGTGATCTACTACCTGGTACTTCACAACTGACATTAAATTTAAAATCTTAAATAAAAAGTCTTTCTGCTAAAATGCTTGTAAAATCAGAATTATTCGTAGACCTTCCTAGTTCCATAATGTTTTTACTGAGTATTACAATGTAAGAAGAATCTTTTTTTTTTCTTTTTTTTTTTCTATAATTATATTTTATTAATTTTCATAAACATTTACAGAGATTTTGGGCTTCCACTCATTCATTGTTGCACTATTCTCTCTACCCTCCTCCCAGTTTGTTCTTGTCCAAATGCCACAGTGCTTGTCAAAGCCAGTTCTGATCAATCTTCTTTGTCAGTGTATCCTTTGCCATTCCCTATCACTCCTCCCTGAGAGAGACTTCACCCTGAGTCAGTAAGAAGAATCTTGAAAGCATTTTAAGCTCATGGAAATAATATTCATGAAAGATCGAACATGTATGTCACTTTCTTACTATAAATTAACAGAGTGGCTCCCAAACCTTCTTTTTATTAAGAGTATTCTGACCAAAGGGATCTCTGCTGGCCCAGTGGCAAGAAGCTGAGCTGTAATCCTAAAGTCGCTAGGTTCAAATCCACCAGACACTCACCTAAAGAAGGAGGGACAGTTTTTCCTGTGCCCATTGGATATGATTTGACAGTACACAAGAAAAAAAAAGGGAAAAAAAAAAGAATATTCTGACAAAAACATCAAACCTTTTATTTCTGAGCTGATTCTAATAGTGATCTTATAAAACAAAGTAAAACATCTTCATAAGGTTTACGAGGATGTGTGTGAATCTATACAGAAGTAGACTGTCTCCAGCAATTCCAGAGGTACACAATTCGAATCCACCAGAAGTTCTGATGGAGTAGGAGCAGCAATTTCCTCCTGTACTAGTCAGATCCGATTTGATGGTACACAGAAAATAATAATAATAATAATAATAATAATAATAATAAAGAAGTAGATTGTCTCATTTTTTTCACCCATAGAGCAGCTGGAGGATTCTAGTTGCAAATCTTCTTATTGACCACTGAATGTTTAATCCACTGTGCCACCAGAAATCCTTAGTGTAATCTGTGTGAATGTTAAAATTTTTCTCCCTATCAAGCTATCTAACCACTTGAGGCGATGAAATTTCCACACTTAAAAATGAGTGCTGTGTTCTGAACTGCTAAAATGATGTTTCATAGGGGGGAAAAAAGACAAAGAAAGATAATACTTACTTGGGGTTTTGTGTCCCCAGGACCCTGAATTTGGGTGGAGGAATATCTTCTTTTTGATATTTGCCGTAAATGTGTTAGGATTGCTCTTCTATCTCATATATGGAGAAGCAGATATTCAGGAATGGGCTAAAGAACGAAAACTCACTCATTTATGAAGGTAAAGAATAATGCTTCTTCTGTGGTTGTTACCGTAGTACCCTATTTAAGATTTTAAAACTCCATGTCGTGATTTTCCTTTCTCAGTGACTGTGCTTTGGATGAGAAGGTCATTAGACAACTTATTTCATAAATGTAGTAACTTCAATGATGAAAATACCTGTGGAAAGGATTTTGTTTATTGTTGGTTCTTGCTGAATATGGCATGTCCTTTATTTTCTTTTTATTTCTTTTGAAGAAGCCATAAGGTGAATGAAAATTCAAACAAAGTGATAGCCAAGAACACAATTATCATCTTCATGGAATTAACAATAAACTGTGTGGAAAACAATATGCCTGGTTCATCATATAGACCTTCAAGCAAGAATTCATGTTTTGAAATTCTTAATCTACAGTGGCAATCTTGTCAAAGCAATGATTTTTATTTCAATTGTGAAAATAAATATCAGTTTATAAATTCCTGTATTTGATGTTATCCATTTTCTTCTCCTTGTATGTATTCTAATCTTCATCCTGCTCAAGCCCCAGGATCTGCATATTTCATACTCCTTTAGGTACAAGCTTTTGTTGGACTTACGTTTTTCAAGCTGGCACATATATCTAATATCATTTGCTTGTTATTAGTTTATAAAGTACATTCAGTGATGCCAATTAATCATGCTTTGTAACCACCTTTAATAACTGTTCCTCAATTTCCCTTGCCATATTGAGTTTACTGAATAATAACGATATAAATAGCTTAGGTTCAATATGGAACAATCCCCACTTTAACTCTTTATTTGTGTGTGCACAAATAAAGAAGTATAGAAAAAACTAACAAAGAGGACACGGTTCCTATAAACAATTAAATATTAAATTATATTTTGTAATGATAGCATACTCATGAATGTAGAATTGCTTCCAACATTTGGAAAGGAATGAAAGAAAGCTATGTATCAGGAACTTGTGTACCAGAGTCAGACCTGACCCATAGCTGACCCTCGGGCAGGTTTTCAGAGGCAGTTAATCTCACAGGAGGGTCACTGAATGCAAGGGGTTCTTTCTGTAGTCAATCACCAATAAGGCAAAAGGATTGCCATATCCATAAACACTTTATTACACAAATCTGGGAGACAGCTAGTCACCTTCAAGACTGCCTACCCCTCTGGGAGTGGTCATTGAGTTTTATACTAGGGTGAAACACCAGCTCATTTAACAATGCACTTTTGTTAATAAAAAAAGGAATTTCAACATCTGAAAAGAACAGTTCACATTTAAGTATGAGTAATTCAGGAAGGTCACAGTTCTCTTCCTGTTAAACAGGCAAGTTAAGATACAATTTACATTTGACTGGAGAACCAGCCTCACAGAGATGTAGGATAGATGCATTTCCTCCCCTGGTAAACAGATGCATTAAACTGCTCTACATAACTAAAGATAGGAAACAGAATTCAAAGGCTAAGTAACTAGTTTTGCAGGCTAAAGATAACTGATGTTAGTTTTATAATTATATATCTACAGTTTTATAACTGATACATATATAGAGAATTCTGAACTATTCATACCACCCTACTAGGAGGAGGTCACCCATCCTCATACTGCAGAGTTCATACTGGTGACCTCAAACCACTTACTTTGGGGATTGCAGGGTGGCTTCTTGCCACCAGGCCACCAGAGTTTTTAGGACTCTAATGGTTTGGAAAATACTAGAACATTATTTCCAAGGTAAAAGACAAATTGTTGAATCTTAAAAATGCATCATTAAAATATTCCACAATTTTAGGTAGAAAAACACATAAAACTCATCAAGTTGTGAAGCAGAGTATACTATAATTGGGAGTACTTTACTGCCCCATTTTCCAGATGTTTTTAATGGGACTCAGAAAAATAGAGGAATCATGGAACTCTGGTGTCATAGTTCGTATTATGTTTGAATCCTCCAGAATTAAAGATTACCTCCAAGAGTAAAAGATGGGAAGTCTCTTCCTTTTAAGATTTATAGTCTTGGAAATAAAGTGGAGAATCTCTCTGAGTTGGAATTCACTTGACAGCACTGGTAGTAGGATCAAGCTTCTGTAAAAGTAGTCTTCTTGCTTCTTGAACCACATGGCAAAGAAGATCCTACAGTTGTTGTTGTTGTTATGTGCCATTGTTTAGGGAACTTGGTGGCATTTACATGCTGGCAGGGCACACAACTCTGGACTACAGCCGTGGTCAGCAACTCAGTATATACAGCACCATCAAGTTGCTTGTGACTCATAGCGACTCTATGTACAACAGCCCTAAAATCTGCTCTATCCTGTGCCAATTGCGCTGTCTCTGACACTCTCATCCTGATTACCCCAGTCACTGAATCAATCCAGCTCATAGAGGACCTTCCCTTCCTGTGCTGTTCCTCCACCCTACCAAACATGATGTCCCTCTCCAAGGACCTGTCCCTCCTTACAACATGTCCAAAGTATGTTAGACAGAGCCTCAGAATCCTTGTCTCCAAGAAGCCACCCAGTTTGACCCTTTCTAGGATGAATCTGTTTGTTTTCCTAGAAGTCCATGGTACCTCAATACTCTTCTCCAACCCCACAGCTCAAAGGCATCAATTCTCCTTCTATCCTCCCTAGTCATTGTCCAACTCTCTGATGCATAACAAGTGATTGCAAAAACCATGGCCTGTAGCAGATGTATCTTAGTCTCCAGAGAGACACTATTGCTCTTCAGTACTTTGGAGAGGTCCCTAACAGCAGACTTTCCCATCGCAATACGTCTTTTAATTTCCTGGCTGCTGGTGCCAAGAGTGTTGACTGTGGAGCCAAGCAAACTGAAGCTGTGAACAATCTCAATCTCTTCACCATCCATCCTGATGCTGCCGATTGGTCCAGTGGTGAGAATCTTTGTCTTCTTAACATTGAGCCTCAATCCATATTGGAGGCTGCAGTTCTTGACCTCTGCAGCAAGTGCTTCAGGTCCTCCTCAGTTTCAGCAAGCAGGGTTGTATCATCTGCATATTACAGATTGTTGATAGATCTTCCACCAATCTTGACCCCACATTTCTCCTCATAGAGTCCAGCCTCCCAGATAATCTCTTCTGCATACAGGTTGAAAACATATGGAGACAGGACACATCCCTGGCGTACGCCCTTCCCAATTTTTAACCATGCAGTGTTACCCTGCTATGTTCTGAGGACTGCCTCCTGGTCCAAGTATAGGTTTAGCATTAGCATGATCAAGTATTCTGAGATTGCTAATCTTCTCAGAGTCAGCCACAGTTTGTTGTGATCCACACAATCAAATGCCTTTGCATAATCAATAAAACACAGATTCCTCTGATACAAATTCCACTGATACTAATGGTTAACTCCACAATAAGGGATATATCTTTCACTTTCTCTGTAAAATGTTGGTCTGTCTGATACTTCTCTAAATCTGAACATTCAGATTAAGACCAACTAGGAAGAAGGATTGGCCATCCACTTCTGAAATAGCAGGCCTCCGAAAACCTTATGTACAACAGAACACATGTAGAATAACAGAAAGGGAAACTGAGGTTGAGCTTTCAATTATGGAACTACAAAGGAAGAGGAACAGTTGTAATCAGATACTAGAGAAAGGGACATGGAGTGTGAGAACCATGAATGTAGGAAAATTAGATATTGTTAAGGAAGAAATGGAACACATAAGTATTGACATACTAGACATTGGTGAGATGAGATGGACTGGTATAAGGCATTTTGAGTGGGACGATCATATGATATATTACTCTGGAGATGAAAAGGTGAGGAAAAATGGACTTGCTTTCATAGTTAAGAAAGTAATTTCTAGATCCATCTTGAAGTACAAAATTGTGAGTGACAGGATAATATCCATACACATACAAGGAAGTCCAGTGAATACCACTATCATTCAGATATATGCACCAACAACCAGAGCCAAGGAAGAGTAAATAGAAGATTTTTACCAACTTTTACAGTTGGCGGTCGATCAAACATGCAATCAAGATGCAGTGATAATAATGGGTGGTTGGAATGCAAAAGTTGGGAATAGAGAAGATTCAGTAGTTGGAAAACATGGACACGGTGACAGAAATGGAGCTGGAGAGAGAAGGATTGAATTTTGCACAATCAATGACTTATTCATTGCAAGTATGTTTTTAAAGAGACATAAACGCAGGTTATATACATGGGTTTCACCTGATGGTATGCATAGGAATCAGATTGATTACATCTGCAGAGAGAACTGCTGGAGAAGCCCAATATCAGCTGTGAAAACTAGGCCAGGAGCTGATTGTGGAACATGTGGAGATCCTATAGTAGTATGTGGAAATTCCAAGAAGTGCCAAGAGATGAATCATATCTGGGATTCTAGTGATTTAGCAGCAAAGAAGTTTATGGCATTTGAAACAAAGAGCTATGTCCTTTTAAAAAGGAAGTTCTTGGCATACTATTGAGTCCTAGCAAAGAAGAGCATCTAGTCTAGAAGATCAAGTTATTTTCCCAATTAAACTAGATGCTGGCATCAAATCATAAGTTCAAGCAAACTCCAAAGCAATCTATTATATGCACGATGGAAATAATTCATCTGGGATTTTATTTTAGCATGCTCAGAGGGCATACAAAAGTTTCATGATCAGATAGTCCATGCCATCATGCTACTTACCACTGATAGGGTGGTATTAATTCATTCAGGAGTATCTATAGATGTATCAGTTATAAAACTATAGTTATATAATTATAAAACTAAAATCAGTTTTCTTCAGCCTGCAAAACTAGTTACTTAGCCTCCAATTCTGTTTCCTGTCTTTAGTCATGTAAAGAAGTTTTATCTGTCTGTTTACCAGAAGAGGAAATGCATCCCTCCTAGATCCCTCTGAGGCTGTTTCCCATTCATATGTAAATTGCATCTTAATCTGTCTGTTGACCAGCAAGGGGACTGCCTCCCTACTGAATTACTAGTGTTAAGTGAGTTAGTGTCTAATGCCCATGACCACTCCCTGATGACAGGGAGGCTGAGACCCACAGTCCTCCAC